TTAATAAAATTACTCCTTAATATCAGAGAAACAGAAGGATGTCAGAAACAACAAGGTGGGGAAATACAACGGCAGATGCCAATAAATGAATGAATGAATGAATGAATGAATGCATGAATGAATGAATGAATGAATGAATGAATGAATGAATGAATGAATGAATGAATACATAAATACATAAATACATAAATTAATAAATGAATAAATAGATACATTCTAAGGATTAAATAAAACCTGGGTAAAACTGGACATAAGAGGATCGTATACAAAATTGACTCATAGACCCCTGCATTGCCTGCAAATTTAAAAAGTTCAAATACTTACCGGTTTTACACTTTATGGTAAACCTGCTAAAACTGATGGTTTTTAGGGTTGTTTTTGGTGTATTTGTCATTATTACACTGACACAGGAAGTCAAATCAGCGTCTGTGATGTAGCGATAAAGCATAATAAAAGCGCACCGCCGTTGCATACAGAAGACCTGAGTTCGATTACAGAGCAAAAATGTTATTTATCGAGTATCTCGGTCTTTCTGCTGGCATGTTATTAATTATCCCTCTCAGCCTGGGTTGGTTCTGATAGGCGGGATCGATATCGGCCTTATAATAAATGATCTAAATTGTGTCACTAGAATCTAGAGCTAAAAGCAATTAAAAATTTACGGACATGTAGCTTGTCATTGATGGTCTCCACGGTGAAGCGCTCTGATTGTTAAGCTCTGGTGAGTGTTTTGCTTAGGTTATCGAGTCTTGCTGAAGGACACATTCTAAGTTTCTAAGGTGCACTCACCCAAAGCAGTCTCGCCTCAATATTCTTTTTTTTATATAATATTATTACGCTTAACTTTATTGTGAGCCTGAGCTCCCTTATTGCCGGGTCACAGCAAAGTAAAAGCTATAGACTGTGCCACACTGGTGTCTGTATTTGTAGCGTTTAGGCCCTTAGACGCCACACGCAGAAGACTTGAGTTCGATTCGTTTGTGGGGATAATTTATTTTTTTCTTCTTTTTACTTGTTTCGGGTTTGGGTTTTTTCCTCGGACTTTCTATCCCTCTCAACCTTGGTTGGCTCTGACGTGCAGGTCAAAGCCCGACTCATTGAATGATCTAAAATGGTGTTCATGGAGGCGAATAAACACTTTTGTTTGACAAAGAAAAATACCGTGCCACGGCTAATGTATGATAGAATACAACAAGTACAAATTGAACTAGGTACAGCTGAAATGAAAATTTTTGTTTGGGCTCTAAATTAAGTGTACTGGGATTCCCAATAACCAGTATGGGTCAAGA